TGGAGGGCACTGGCTCAGTGTTATTAGAGGTGGATTTTCTGGAAGACTCAAGATACTAATGACTACACGAGTCTTTTTGAGGGTCTGACGGCAAGGGGTTTGCTGGTTGGGTTGATGTGGAGGAAAGTGAGTTGTCTGCTACATACGCTGCCTCCAAACGATCGACGCTCACGGTATCTTACAGTCCTGATCTGTGAATGATGCAGAAATTTCCTTTCTTGTTGAGAACCTTGAAGGGCTCATCGCGTGGTGATTGTAGAGGTCTACGTACAGCATCACAACGCGCAACGACATATGTGCAGTCTTGAAGTCTTTAATCCATTTGCACCCGTTCACACTGGATTTGTGTGGATTGGGGTTGGGGCGACGCATGTGTAGCTTTAGAGTTTGCGCATCACTGTGGATGTCAGTAGGAGTTGGGTCACTACCATCTGAAGCGGCTATTTCAGCTAGCAAACGTCAGTTGCTGCCGTAAACCGATTCAGCAGGAGTATACCGTGTATCTATTTTAAATGTTGGACGAAAGCTAAAGAGAGCGAAAGGCAGAGACTCAGTCCATTAGTGCGCCCTTAAGATGTCGGTGAAACCGTTATATCAAACCATTGGAAGCCGGGTGGTGTGGATGCGCTTGCATCCCAACAGATCCATCAGCTTTGAAAGGCAACGTATTCAAACCGTTGGCCTCGGGGCGTTGTCACGATGGAAGGCATCCAAACTGTGAAACCCATCTTTCGACGAAGACTCGACTGACTTTTTCGGCAGTAATATCGGACAGAGGGATGGGTCCTGGCCAGTGAGTGAACTATGATACACGTCAGTAGGTAGCAATAACCATCGAAGGATGGAAATGGGTTAACAAAGCCTAATTGGACGTGGGCGGATCGCGAATCCAGATTGGCGGAAATTTCAAGTGGTGGAATGTTATGACGATTCACCTTGTAACGTTGGCATCGAGTACATGACCGCTGCCGGTTTCGAATATCGGGGTTAGTAACAGACCATACGAACCCAGCAGATATCAACTCGTCAGCAGTACGTATACCAAGGCGATTAAAACCGTAAAGAGCATCTAAAACATACTTAAGCAAAGGTAGATGAACGACATGTCCGGGTGTCCCCGTGCAGGTGCCGCATAGGATTCTCCCTTCGCGGCTGAGAATCTGTGCAGGGAGGTTGAGTGTTTACCCACCTCCCAGCCTGAACGCTGAAGGTCAGCAATCTCCAAGTCAACCGCCCGAGGTGAAATAGTGGTGCGAACATGAGACTGCGTCTGCGACGGGATTATCCGGATGTCTGGCGTGAATTACGACATGTAGTCTAGGTGACGTAATTCATGCGGTGAATGTCTATCTCTAGTGGTGTGTGAGGCGCAAGTCGAAGGTTTGTGATCAGTGAACGCGATAAACTCACAACCTTCCACAAAATGACGAAAATACTTAATGGAGGCATATGTGGCGAGCAATTCCCGGCTTAGAGTGCTGTATCGCACTTCGCTGGTGGACAGCTTCCCGGAAGAAGAATGCAAGCGGAAACTAAGTTTGATCCCAAAGCTGTTGCAGCACAGCTCCAACGGCCGTGTCACAGGCATCAGCCGTAATGCTAAGAGGTAGGTTTACGTCCTGGTAGGCCAATATTGTAGAGTCTGCTACTACGGTTTTGATCTTGCGAAATGCTTCTAATGACTCAGGAGTCATGTTGAAAGTTTGACGCTTACCTTTCGGCACGTCGGTTGGTACAGCCAAAATGCAAGCACACTGCTGAACGAAACGAAAATGATAGCTCACCATCCCAAGAATGTACGCAACGCCTTAAGTGACAGTGGGACCGGAAAATCTTGAATCGTTCTTGCCTGTTCAGGTAGTGAGCGAATGACGTGTACGTCGAGAAAATGTCCCAAAAATTTCAGTGAACGAACGACAACTCTATATTTGGCCAGGTTGACTGTCACTGAATACTGTGACAGTCTGGTGAAAACCTGTCTTAGGTGGTTACAATGAATATCTCTGTCTGGACCAACTATTAGAATGTCGTCCATATAAGCATGGGCGAAGTCTAGTCCATGTAAGACGTCGTGGGTAAGCGTTGGAAAATTTGTGCAGCGCAGCGGAGATCAAAAGGCATGTGAAGAAACTCAAAGAGACCAAAGAATGCAATTACCGCTGACCTGGGGACATCATCAGGATGAACTGGGATCTCACGATAGGCGCGCATCAAGTCAAGTCTACTGAAGGCAAATGAGTGTTTAAAGATCAAACGGTGTATGTGAAGGACTGGGCAACGATCTGGAATCTTTTTAGTGCTGAGCCATCGGTAGTCACCACAAGGTTATCAGCCCATCCCATTGTTTTTCAGTACCACACGCAAAGGTGAAGACCATGGGCTGTTGGATGGTCTGATTATTCCCGTCTCAAGCATGTGTTCAAACTCGGCCTTGACGGCACGGAGTTTATCGAGGGATAATCACCGTGATTTAGCAAACACTGGAGAGTCAGTCGTCGTCGCGTGATGGTAAGCGTTAGAAGCCACACAAGGTACACTACCACTTGACTGAAGTCATCCGGAAAGGATTGAACAGCGGATGCATAAGGAATGGAAGTGTCCGTCGTGGAGTACACTGGACTGACAGATGGCGCCTGTGTGACAAAACCCGAGACGGAGAGTCTTGTAGTGGAATCAGTGAATTTATGCTCACCAACACCTACCAACAGCTGACAGTACTGTAAGAGATTCATACCAATAATGCCGGTGGTCACATCAGCCACTATGAAGACCCAACGGAAAGAACGAAACAATCCAAAATTGAGGTCGAGGAATCCTCGACCATATGTTGTGATGGGCGAACCGTTAGCAGCGCGAAGTTGCAGAGACATTGGCCTCAGACGCTCCTCACTAGTAGGTGAGATGAGGCTAGCCCCCGCCCCACCATCAACCAGGAAGCATATCCCAGAATGTCGACCTATGGCGAAAAAAAGGCGACAGGGAAGTGGTTTGCCAGTGACGTCAGCCGCTGTCACGTGCTGGCTCACGCGTTTCCCGCCCGGTTAGCCTCGAAGGTGCAAGGTCGGGTGCACCTTTTGGCACCAAAACGTTTGTGGTGCCAGCACAACCTGGGTTGGGATTGTCGCGATTTGGAAAGCCCGTTACCGGTACTGGAGATACATCTGTTGCGCTAGCGAGACGTGCAACCGTAGGAGGAATGACGAGAACTCACTTCCTTCCTGATGTTGCATAACTCCTCAAACAACTTTAAGATGTGAGCTACGGCGTTGAAACTTGATGGCTCACTTGTTGGGGGGGGGGGGGTAGGAGTCTTTGGTGAGTCAGTGGCAGCAGACAATGAGGCTGAAATACTCGTATTGGACTTGCTAGCATCTATAGCTCTGTTAGCTGCTCCCTCCAGCCCTATCAAGGGATGCTCATGAAGCGGCGCTAGGATTCCTTGCGACCACAGTTGCTTCAGGAATACTTCATCAATATTGAAGTCCGCGACCGGCTACCTCATCTGAAGAAGCAGCTGCGTGGGCTTACAATCACCTAGATGCACATCCCTGAAAAGTTGCTGCATCTTCCGCTGATCAGTAAGTGCAACGCGCTTGATGAGGGCGGTTTTAAAGAGATCGTACAGATTCGGTGCTTTGTCGTCTAACGCGCATGAGACATCTTCGATTACATTCTCCGGCAGGTTGACGATAACCAAGTTTGGCTTAGTTTCCTATGAGTGAATATGCCTCAAGGCAAACTGAGCTTCCACGTGGAAGAAGCATGCGGATGGTCTGTGAGCCCAAAAGGTGTGAAGCTGAAGAGTTATGACCATCTGCTCAGTACAGTCGTTGTTCTCAGCCACTGACAAAGAATATAATGAGGCACGATGTTGATACCAACAGAATTAGAATGTAAAAAACCAGTGGGGAAGGCAATACAAAAACGAAGACAAACCGTATCAAAAATGAAAATAAGACAAATGAATCAACACAGGATGAAAAAAAGTACCAGGTACAGTAAGAAATGATACTCAGGCTCTCCAATTATGGGGAGTGCTGGTGGCATTACTATTATGCAACGTTTGATCAACCGTACTTAACTTGATGTGCTCTAGTACCCGCTTAACCAGTACCTTACCTAACGTGCAAGTACCGATAACAAAACACAAACCAAGAGAACTGTTTCCAGGAATATATTTGAAAAAGCAATATGTTTCGTTAGAGTGAATGTAATAGTAATGAATAGGGGAAAGTTTACTCAACTTGTCTGGCTGGTGTGGCTGAACTAGGGACTCTAAGTATGTGAGTGCTAACCGGCACAAAGGGAGCGCAAGATGGCTCCGAAGCCTGCTCGGATGTATGCTCACTAATACAAAACTTAAAACATCCAAGGCATCCGGGGGCGAGCTTGAGGTTTATTTAATTAATTCAACTTAATTTATTTGTTTTAGCCTCAGTTACATTTCGGTGTCAAGATGGTGCACTACATTACCGTCAAACACCTGGCCTGGTGATGTCAACGGTCACTGGGATGTTGGTGTCGTTGTCCCCTGATCCTTGAGAAGCAGTGAGCATAGAACTGCAAATAAAAACGCAACGTACTTTCTAAATTTTCACAATCTTCCGTAGAAATACAGAGAGCTATTTACTACTTTGACCTGCAGCAAACAGTGGCAAGTTGGCAAGAAGTTTCGAGGAGATATTGCAACTGCTACTGGAGGAGACGTGTATTAGCCTAAATGAGCTTACCGAGAAATGAAATAACAATACAAACACAACATGCAAAGTTACAAGATCAAGAGTTACGTGTAGATTGTACCCGTCACATTAAAAGCAAGTACACTTACGCTGCATATGTAACATAGAAAACATGCTTGACGTCTTTAAAAAGCACAAATATTCACAAAACTACAAAAATTTGACATGAAACTGGACTACAAAGCAATATGGGGAACCCACATGCGTAAATTGAGACTCTCAAGGTCTCAAATTGGCCAATCACAACTGTACCCAAGGTAGGAGACAAACTTTGAAGTGGTTGGCCAATAAAGTCGCTCCACGCTCGTGTGAAACTATGTAAGTTTTGTCCACTTACGCAGTCTTGTCTCCAAACTGTTATATTTTCTCATTACTAATTATCCACTTTTTTTCGTATGTGGAAATAATACCAATTATGTAGCCATATATAGCTAGTTATAACAATTACTACGACTTTTCGTGTGCAGTTCGTTACTTAGTAAATTGACTACCTATGTAGTCGTTAGATACCAGTCTTTAAGTCCATTTTCCAGAGTAGACAGAGTATTCTGAACAGAAGTACAGATGTGACTTAAGTTCATATTTGACCCAGAAGCATCACTATTTGAAGTACTCATTACCCGTTGCCTAAGTAAATTGTTTAAATTTTACGAAAGGACTCCGTATGATGAATCCTGTGACCGGCAGTGTACCTTGTTGCGGAAGTACACTAAAGATTGCATAGTTCCTATCATCGCTCACATCGGCTTTATGCCATATCCATTTCGATCATTTAAAAAAGTTAATACCACCAGACGTTTACTTATTAAATCATACTGATAAAGACGACTGAACCTTATGCAAATGAAATCCTAAAGAAAATGATTCAGCGAAAATATCTTTTCCTGACAACATTTACTGAAGCTATTCATTTGTAATTGTGATCCTTGTCCGTAATGAGCAGTTCTCACTAGTTAGGCTGTTGACATCACATCCCAATAATGATACCAGGACTAAAGATGCAGTCTCTGCCTGGAAAAGAGCACACAACAACTGATGACGCGATGACAACTGTAATGGGGAGGAAGTCCTGCTGTCTGTGAATTGTTTACAGTTATGAAGTTGGATGTCTGTTTGACAAATACAATGAAGGAAGACAAAGGCGTAGGGACTTATGGTGGAATAATTGTTGGGTTGCCAAAAACAGCGGTAAAGATATTTGGTAACCTACATCTAAAAGTTAAAAAATGTCAATAAGTTTCCTCAACGTCATCCGAACTGATTGGTGCGAAAATATTTATTTCAGCTGACTGTGACCACAATGAAGAGCGAAAGAAACTCAAACGTAAGTCGACTTAGTCTTCACAGTGGTCACAAGCATTGATGGGTGGTGCAAGTGAGAGAGGTGAAGAAAGCATCAGTATCAGGAAATACTAGTCAGTGACTGAGGAAATCAACGTACAACCTCACACAGGTATGCATCGGCTTAATTTGCCACATTTCATAGAAGTACCTGAAGAACAGGTGGATAGAAAAGGAGTGATTTTAAAGTAGGTGAAGTATGAGAGAATAAACAATCTGAAGATAAAGGTTAGTGTGAATATTTAAGGTTTAGATGTCAATATGTGAATTCATCTTCCAGCCATGTCACCAAGTGTCCTCATCCCTTTCGTCCCATGGACATTAACCAGACAGACTACATTGCGCTATACGACTACGATCAACAGTAAGAGACCATGAACTGATGCCAGGTCCTTGTCTGGCCACATTAAACCACTCTATCCTCATCCTAATTTCCCTAGCACGGCACATCTAGTCATTCGATGGCTCAGGATGCACAGTACTTGTCCAAGCAGTCTCAGTCGACTAACGTTCACAACCTCGTCAATCAACTTGCCTATCTTGCCTAGTACCTATCGCTTGATCTCATCATTGCTTACATTGTGATTCTGACAAACGCGAACAATGCTATGAAGACATGTATGGTTGAAAAACTGTAGCCGCTTCATGTCTTCTACTTCCAACGGCCATTTCTCACAACCGTACAACAGGACAGAAAAAAACTGCAGCCGAGTATACTCGTCTCTTGATAGATAACTAGATACCTCGCCGACGCCACAGATAATGCAAGTTAGAATTGCCAAACGGGGCTTCTGTATCCGAGCTGAAATTTCGCCAGCAACCAGCCTGTTTAGGCTGATGTAACTCCCCCAAGTTCGTGAAGTGGTTGACACATTACACCACTTCACTTCCTGTTATTAAGCTGGGAGTCTTTACAGACCAGTCTTGGAGCATCATCTTACATTTCGTAGGTGTATAACGCATGACATATATACACAGGTTTCTACCAAAGGCGTTTAGAAGACCCTACATTTCCTCTGCGTCTTCACCGGGCAGGACAATGTCGTCTACATATTCCAAGTCAACTAAATGACCTTTATCGAGTAGGTAAATCCCTGTAAAGTCAGACGAACATAGGGTTATGTTCATTGGTACGTCTATGATGACGTTAAATAAGAACGGTGACAGTGAACATCCTTGCCGGACACTAGTTGTTTTCAACTCACTTGAAAACTCCATAAGCCCTGACACGGCTGTGTAAGTTAGAGTAGAGATCTTTGACTAGCGTTATGTACTTGTTCGGTATTCCCTTCACAGTCAGATAACAACAACACTTCACGATCAACAGAGTCAAATGCCGCCTTCAGGTCAAGAAATATAGCAAGTGTCGGCCACTGCTGGTAAATATGCCTGTATTCCAGAGTCTGTCGGAGGATGAAAATCTAATCGACTCATCCTCGTCCTGCTCAGTCTGAAACCCGCCTAATTTTCTTGAGTTTGCTGTTCTAGAGCTCCATTTGGGCGTTGGACAACTATGGACCCTAAGATATTGAACACAGTATTGGTCAACCCGACTCCCCTATGGTTGTCACAAGAATACTTACCCCCCTTCTTATAAAGTTTGATGGTCTCAGTTAACTAGATCAGTCTGATGGGACTACCTTTGAATCCTATACACTACCTAGTATCTCTGTCACCTTAATTGGTAATATCCTACCTTCATCCTTAAAAACGTAGGGTGATAAACTGTCAGATGGTGCGGCCTTGCATCGTTTCAGGTTCTACCCAACTTTGAGGGAAGTTGGAAGACTATCATCTACATCCCATTCACGTACAAGCTGGCTGAGTGTGACTGGACTTCCGCAAGGTCATCCGAACCGATTGATGCGAGAATATTTATTTCATCTGACTGTGACCACAGTGAAGAGCGAAAGCAACTCAAACGTAAGTCGACTTAGTCTTCGCAGTGGTCACGAGCATTGATGGGTGGTGCAAGTGAGAGAGGTGAAGTCATCACCACTAAGTAATACCGGTTAATAATTTACGCTTATTTAGGCTATTGGTAACAGCAACACTTGAGTTGTCCATCATACAGACCAAACCTGAGTAAGACGCAAATGTCAGTCGTTCAACTCTCGTCAACGCTGTTACCTGACTAACTGACAAAATCAACATGAAACCTCGCTTACAGGTGGATTGAGAAAACTATGAATGGATGCCAAGCTGTAGGACGTGATGGTATGGCACTCGAAGTTTTCCAGGATGTAAGTAGAAAATTGCTCATAAGAGTGACGGTGAAAACCACAAGTGAATTAGTTTGACTAATATGGTATCCAATATCCTAGGGTCAATAGTTATCGAACGCCTAGCTGGAACTGGAGACTAACGAGATGGGGAAAAGCAGGCAGATTTGAGAGCTAGACACGATGGTGGATCGATCAGATTTTGCTCTTCGACAGGTTCTGTGACATAAGCATACTAACCAGCCACCAACACTTACCATATTTCTTGGTCTGAAGTTGGCATTTGATTCTGTCGCCTAAGAGATTTTGCGGCAGTCTGACTGTGAAAGGAGTGCCCAGAAAGAATATGAAGCTAATCAAAGCTGTCTGCTCGGGCTGACACTCTTATGTTGGGGCTTATGAATAGTTATCATCTGAATCGATGACAAATATTGGTGTCCGTTAAGCTTAATTTCGTAATAGATATGCTAACGGAAATGACCTTAGTTGCCTCTGACTTCATAGAGACTTATCTACTCCCTGGAGGGTATTTGATTGACTTGGAATACGCGGACAACATAAGCCGTTTCGATGAAGACTTGTATTCGTAGCACTACTCGTGTAAAGTGGAGTCACTACATAAGCAATATTGAGGTGAGACGAAAGGTTCTGTGCATGGGATGCAAGTCGTTCAGTAAGGATGTGAACCTTTAGTGACTTTGATGGCTTGGAAATTTGCTAGTCATGCTGACCCACCACCTGCCTCAATGTCCCATTCTAGGGAAGTTGGATTAGGTTGCAAGGGTTGAGGACGTTGCAGCAGTTTATCAAGTCTCTGAATGTTGCTCCGTGTAGTGTATAAAGGTGTAGAATAATTGGTTGCAGTCCCTGAGACGATGCGAATCCTTGGTGAAATGATTGAAAATCGGTCACATCATCACGCTTTGATTTGTTTTACAGTTTTAATGTCTTGACTAACCTTGTCCACTTTGTTATCAGTCCTTCTTATTCACTTGTTCTTTGTATACTGCTGTGTAATTTGGCAACTTAAACGGATAATTAGTCTCATTTCAGAATGAACACCAAATGCTGTAGTAAAATATGTTATAAAAAATTCAACATACACTTGAATTACTGATACTAGTAAAGTAAGTCAAAATCAAGACTATAGTTCTTACCTTTGGGTTCAACAATGATATGATAGGTAATTTCGTTGTCGGTCTCTTTCCTAATGTCTGTAGTTACTGTCCCCTAGCAATTTTGAACGCTTGGTTTAAACGTCTGTTGTTTCTTCTTCAGAAGCACTTGTCTACAATCTGATCTAATTCTCAGTCGTATCTGAAGTATTGGAAATTTTCTTATTTTTTGTATCTAATGGAGGACGTTATTCCTGATTTAGTGGATGACAAGAAGCTGAATGCTTCGACTGGTAATAAAGTACCTGTGACAATCCTCTCTGGATTTCTTGGTAAGTTTGCTCTTATAGTTGATTGCATTTTTTGTCCTTGTGCCAATATTTTTAGAAGCCCTATTTTTATTTCCACAAGTAATTCTTTAGTCTTCAAAAATGATATTTTATGTTTTGGATAGATATCTATGCCTTTTGTTCACTTGAAACGAGTCCTGATAAGTAAAAGGGTATTAACTGACTATGATGTTTCTTGTATTATCCCATCGTTGACTGGACCGAATTGATCGGCCTCTATTGGCGTATGGGCTCCTGCACGGATAGGAACAACATCGCTCACTAGGAGGCAGATACATTCACTTGACTAGTCCAAAATAGGATGAAACGCGCGTCATGGGTTTCATTGCTATCCATCATTAATGTTAAATAATTTATGACTCATCACTTGTGTAATTATATCTTGAGCACTAGCTTTTCTTTTTCAAATTTGAATGCGGTGAATAGTAACGATGGTTCACTCTCTTCAGCACGCTTGTTATCTAACATTATAAATAGAAGGTAAATCGTCTACGGGTCTCATTAAGAATTATTCGAGGTGTATTTCATGTAGCAAAAACCAAGTAATAAAACTATTTAGTCTACATCTTTAGAAATGAACTGTAAACTATTTTTTCTCGAGTATTAAATTGTAAATAAAGTAAACGAGCCGAAAATTCTGTTAGTTTAACTGTTGCCTACTTCATTAATATAGTTGTAAAACTTGGGCACTGTGACAGAATTTAATTCTATATTAGATTTGTTTATTTGATTGATACAGTATTAATATTATATTACTGTATTGTCAATCAAATAAACAAATCTAATATGTTGCTTACTTCGTTATTTATACTGAGTAGAGAATTGAGTGTTATGCGTCTGTAGTGGATGTAGTTAAAACTAGGTGGTAAGTTATTTCCTACTGATTTGTTGTTTTTCTCATAGTAAGGACCACTGGAATAAAAATACTCACTGTACTTAGTCGTTGACGAGAATTGTCTAATTCCGCCTATGATGTTTTTATTGACTCACAATTAAGAAGTGTAACACAGCAACCTTGTGCGGATTTGTCCCCTAAGTTATGGCAAACATCAGTGCACGGGGGTGGTCATAGTATTGGATTGTCCGAGCTGAAGTGGGTGCATTAATTTTGTGTCTGTAACCTAATGGTTGATATTCCGGTATCATATTCGCACTTCAGTATTAGGCTAACGGATAAATGTTTTTTCGCCCCATTATGATGGTATAAAATCATATTCTTTCAGTAGATTTAATAAGGTTTATTCAACTTCGCTTATATTAAAATCGTTTGAATGGATCTAGAATAAGTTTTCAAATTTGTTTATCCATAGAGTATCGTACCACAGATTAGAATTGCAAAGTAAGTGTGCGTTTCACGGTTTTCATTTATTCTCTGGATGTCGGTAGTTTTTTCTCTGATTCAGTATCCTAAGCGCATTAATTCATGCTGTGCACTTGTTGAATGTTTTATATCACATTCTTTTGGGTGGAGCTGGTGGAACCATGAACATAAGTAGCAAGCGTGATCGTTTCTGGGAACTGTAACAACGGTTGAAATATATTGGGTAGGATCGAGTCGAAACATGAGCTTTTATCTGTAGTTTATAATTGTACAATACAAAATATGCATTGATGTAAATGTTTGACGTATGTGCTTTGGATGGAGCGTTTCTTACTTAGATAATAGTCAAGTAGTATTCTCTTAGGAAAGCGTCATGATGAGTTTGTTTAGCTGAACACAACTTCTTGGCCCACCAGTGTCGTTGTGACCTAAGGTCAAAAATGGATACATCATATTGTTATCATTTGTTTCTGGAAAGGGCCCATGAGAGATTGTCGCTTCTCCTAAAGCACGTGTTTGAACAACGACCACACGTTGGCTCAAGCACGTGTATGTCTGCACCTAAACAGAGATAGGAGATCTACAGCAGCAAGACCATCACAAGTGTTTCTTAACAATAAGAATACTAAGGACGCTTTCAACAATGAACTAGTCAGACAGTTATCAGTACAGACCAACATCACTCATCATGAAGAAACCTGGTGCTGTCTCTAGTCTGTTGTGAAAACAGCGTTGGTGACCGTAACCGATTCCGAAAAAGAGGTTACGAAGAGCCAGCTTCTCTTTAATCAATGGATGCACTCGAACGCATCCATGGTGGCTCCAAGCGCAACAAAGAGTCGAAGCAACTCAAATGTAGACTGACAAGTGGTCTACACAATGACTGCATGCAGTGGTGGATATCGAAAGCTGAAGAGATAGGAAGGGTAGCAGTGATAGGTAACAGTAGGTAGCTATTAAGACTTATCAAGGAAACTGGGGCATAAAGGTCAATGCTTAATGAGACAATAGCAGAGAAGGATGGGTCCTGCGATTCACTCTCAGAATAAACAACCAGAAAGATGACCGAAATACTTCGAGAAACAGTTTAACTGGCCTCCAGTTAAATTCCATTGTTCGCTGTCCAGTCGGATCCCAAGTAAAAGGTTGAGCTAGGACTTTTAATACTTGAAGCCGAGAGGGCTATAAGGTAAGCTGAATTGAAGAAGCCCTTTATAACCAAACAAACTGGCACTGGAAATATCTAAGGACGGTGATTGCGGATCACCGATCAGGTTGAGCGACATGGTAGTTAGTGTATGAGGGTCAGATATGATCGCATCTGACTATTCTCGATCACTGATAGTTTTAGACCTCATGTAAGGCGATCAATCCTCTTGTTTAAGATTCTAAGCCCTATGATTATCACATCTGTAAGTGTAGCTTGGGAGGCCAGCTTCAGACTTGGCCGTGGGTGTAACGATCAGATATCCACTCCGCCAGTTTCTCGAACTCAGGCATACATACATGCGATACACTTTAGCTGTACATATTTCAGCCTGAAGGAGAGAGGGGGGGATTGACCTTGTTTACCGAAAGGTCGTTTGACATTGTATCTGACTAGAAGGGGTGCAGGGTAAGTACATCACTCTGTTGGAGGCTATATACTCGAACACTTGACGGCTTGATAGAGCTTATGGTGACTTGTCAGGTGAGTCATGCACGTTGAATGGCGTCCGGCAAAGGTATCCACTCTCCATTTTTATTCAATTTTACCATAGACGTATTTATGTGAGTTTCCTTTTCGTCATCAGACGGTATAAGGATTGGTCCTATCACAGGAAAATCCTTGTAAAACCTAGAGTACTCAAAGGGTGTATGATATGAAGTAATAAGGTACGGTTACGCGGTAATGCTATGTGCTATGTTGATCTTACTTGTCTGTATTTTATGGTATTCATGATGTTCCACGTCGAAGCATGATATGACTTTAATTGGGATTATGCTGTTTATGTTTATGCAAAAAGTCATCGGTGTATCTTTCTAAGATAATTAATTTCATGAGGTGGATTTAATCCTTAAATAATACTTTTCATGTTTACCAACCTAATTACGTCAGTATTTACTATTTCCCACGCTTCATGATCCAACCGTCGATCATAATGTTATTCTACAATGACACCCCAGCCGATAGCTGGTACTTGATGATCGGGCTTGCATATCACAACTACCTTACGAATTAAACTGTCTGGGACACTTGTTTTCTAGAGGTCCTACCATACCACAAAGGTCTGTTTGGTAGTAGTGAGACAAAAAGCAGTTACCATTATGATGTAAACTGTTATGCTGTGATCCGAGTCCGAGATTAAAGTCGTACTACTGACTGGATGGAGCATGCCAGCAGTTAGGTGCTCCCCACGGATGGCCAACAGTTCAGTGCTGATGCTGCCTTTTTCCGCAGGAAGACGGAAAATTGGAAAAAGTACACTCCTCTTTGCCCTATTTTCTTCCTGTGCTGGTGTTAGAGCAACCAAATCTCAACCCGTCAACCAAAAGGGTGTGACAGGCCCCAATCACATATCCCATGTGCACCGCGTTCAAACATTTCTTATCGTTATTATATTTCAGACAATCTACAAAAACGACTTCCACGGTTTGAGCAGCTGGAAAGTATCAAACCCACATGCTTCCAATAGTATGTAATATCCAACCAAACATAACCTATCTCCCTCACCTCTCTCCTTCTTTGCCTTCTGATACCAATACTAACCCTCTTGTAACCTAGTTAACCTACCGCTTCTGTGACTATTGCCAACGATCTAAACCAGTGAGAACTCATTCCTAATCTCCTAAGACTCCGCTGTCCATTTCATATTAAAGTTTCCAGCATCGGAAGTCGATGCCAAGTTGGACAACAGATATCTCTTGCCGGAACCCTGAAATCTTGAACGATGGATGTATGGTGTATGGTGTTCCTGAGATACTTATACAGGACTTGGCTGTGGTGAATAACCACAGCCTAGCCATTGCGGTGGGTATCCGAATACTCAGTAGTTAGCTGTCTTATGCTGGCTGGTTGAGGCGTATAATTGAGTTGCGGAGCTGAAAGCGCACTTCTCGATTAGTTACCAGTCAACAGCCGTCTGTTTGCTGTTCTACTGAATGGATCTGCAAGAACTAGGAAGGATTATGAGACTGTCCAATGCCTATTCGAAATCTCCGCCTACGCGCCCACCGAGTGCAGTTCAAACGACGCAAAGAATAAATTCTATGAAAAGCTGTCAGTTTTCCTATATAAGCAAAGCATTATGATATACTCGTAATGGAACATGACTTTAACGTTGGATTGGGAAAGCGCAGGTAGTCAGAAAGTGGTGTTGGAGGTATTAATGGAATCCCTTGCCAACGAAAACCCAACCGTGATTGTCTGTTGCAATCATGTTCTAACAATTACTTGTTTCTGGAAGAGAGGAAGTCTCACATGTCTCTTGATATAAATTAACAATGAGCACAGACAGATCACATTCCTTCGAAACAACTTTTGAGAAGAGAGGTGGACGATTCCTGAATCGCGTGTTTGGAAGAGAGCCAATCATTTATCTGAATTAACAGCAATGCTCATCCTGAGGAAACCTGGATTGATATTTAGTCTGATGTAGAAACAGCGATAAAAACAGTTGGTAGTGTGCATCTAAAGGTTAGCTAAGTCAATGGATTTATGCAACATCATCCGAACCGATTGATGCGAGAATATTTATTTCATCTGACTGTGACCACAGTGAAGAGCGAAAGCAACTCAAACGTAAGTCGACTTAGTCTTCGCAGTGGTCACGAGCATTGATGGGTGGTGCAAGTGAGAGAGGTGAAGTCATCACCACTAAGTAATACCGGTTAATAATTTACGCTTATTTAGGCTATTGGTAACAGCAACACTTGAGTTGTCCATCATACAGACCAAACCTGAGTAAGACGCAAATGTCAGTCGTTCAACTCTCGTCAACGCTGTTACCTGACTAACTGACAAAATCAACATGAAACCTCGCTTACAGGTGGATTGAGAAAACTATGAATGGATGCCAAGCTGTAGGACGTGATGGTATGGCACTCGAAGTTTTCCAGGATGTAAGTAGAAAATTGCTCATAAGAGTGACGGTGAAAACCACAAGTGAATTAGTTTGACTAATATGGTATCCAATATCCTAGGGTCAATAGTTATCGAACGCCTAGCTGGAACTGGAGACTAACGAGATGGGGAAAAGCAGGCAGATTTGAGAGCTAGACACGATGGTGGATCGATCAGATTTTGCTCTTCGACAGGTTCTGTGACATAAGCATACTAACCAGCCACCAACACTTACCATATTTCTTGGTCTGAAGTTGGCATTTGATTCTGTCGCCTAAGAGATTTTGCGGCAGTCTGACTGTGAAAGGAGTGCCCAGAAAGAATATGAAGCTAATCAAAGCTGTCTGCTCGGGCTGACACTCTTATGTTGGGGCTTATGAATAGTTATCATCTGAATCGATGACAAATATTGGTGTCCGTTAAGCTTAATTTCGTAATAGATATGCTAACGGAAATGACCTTAGTTGCCTCTGACTTCATAGAGACTTATCTACTCCCTGGAGGGTATTTGATTGACTTGGAATACGCGGACGATATTGTCTTGTTAGATGAAGACGCTGAGGAAATGCAGGGTCTTGTGAACGCGTTGATCGAGATTCTTAGTGTGTTCAGCATACTGTTTGCACTTATCAAGTGTTATTTGATGCTCCATAACTGTTGTGAAACTACTCCCAGTTTGGTGATAGGAAGCGAATTAGTGAGGTGAGTAGACTACTTCACTTGGCTGGGGATTTGTATCAGCTCGAACGCGTTATTTGCTGACGAAATCTCACTTGGGGTAGAGAAGGCCTATCTGACACTTGCTTCATCTCTGGCTCCGACTGGCGAGATATCCGACTGCCTGTTACAGGGCGAGTAGACTGCTCTATATTCCGTCCTATTGTGTTATGAGGCTGTGAGACATGTCGTTGAAGCTAGATGTGAACGGGTTACAGGTTTTCGGCCAGGTGTGTGTTCGTAGCATTGCTTGTGTTATGTATTGCAGGATCACCGTGTTGTTGATGTCGAGGTTAGGCGAAAGGTACTAGGCAAGTCGATCGACTGGGTTGTGAAGCCTTATCAACTGCTGTGACTTGGAGATATGTCGCGCACGCGGAGGCACCGCCTACCTCGATGTGCAGTGCTAGTAGAAGTTTGATTCAGTTATTGGAAGATGTTTCAGTGTGAATAGACCAAGCAAGACGTGACACCTGTCTGGAGTCTCTGGTTGTTTATCTGGGTAGTGTTAGGAGGGAGTGAAGACTACGTGGGTGGGGTCCCGGAGACGATAGGAATCAATGGTCGTGAATGGGTCACGATGATGCAGGTGGATTCACTCTACTGTCTTCTAAAGCTTATATATTTTCAGCAGCATTCATGTGCAAATTTTTCCTCCCATACACCTTTGTCTACCTTGATATCAGCCTTTTTACTGACTTGTTCTTTTTATACTGCTGTGAAGTTTGGGAACTTGAACAAATGCTTGTGTATGCGAGGACCTGGGTAAAATGTTTCGATTTTTCTGTTCACTGGTGTGTCAAAATGAATATCCTGTGGAAAGAATTTGTCCTTCGGACCTCTTTCGTTTGAATTAAATAATCTCTTTTGTGTTTTTTTCTCAGTTTGAGAGGGTATTTGATCATTTCGAAAATTTCGCTGTATACTGAGTGACTTTTCTGTTCGCTGTATTTTCATATAGTCTGCCCTTATTATTTGTAACATGAATTACAATGTTACTGCAATATTTATTGGGTTATTTGCTATAGGTGCAGGTAAAACTACTCTTCTCAATTATATTCTGGCGTCTGGTCACAACAAAAGGATAGCTGTTCTTTTGAATGATTTTGGTGAGGGTTCAGCTGTGGAGTCTAGTATTGCGTGGAACGAAAAAGATGGTAATCTCTTCGAAGAATGGATAGAGCTGCGCAATGGCTGTTTATGTTGTTCACTAAAGGATGCAAGTGTTCGGGCTATCGAAAACTTAATGGCGAAGAAGGGAAAGTTTGACTATATCCTTATTGAAACATCTGGACTTGCTGATCCAGGTTACTTGTCTTCGTGAATCAATTTTCTAATCAGGTTAGGTCCTGTCGCCTCACTCTTCTGGTTGGATGAAAGTTTATGCAGTCAAATTTGTTTGGATGGGATCGTTACGCTTTTGGATGCAAAATGCTGCCTGTCACATCTTAAGGGATCGATGGGGTGTGGAGTGAGCGAATACGAAAAGTAATCAGAATTCCTTCTGCATTCATTTTTACTCCAGACAGATACTTTTGGCTGATGTACTTATCATCAACAAGATTGACTTGGTTTCTGAATCTGAAAAGCTAGCAGTTGTTCAGCGTATAAGGCAAGTCATCTTTTGATAGTCTATTCTGTAATTTTCCTTTTTATGAAACTATTGTAAGAAACGACAAGACTGAGACGAAGGAGGGAATGTTTATTATTGACATCTTGTAGAGTAGTGATAAAATATTGTATACATTCCACTAAAACAGTCATTTGCACAATGTACTTCATTCCCTCTTCTGCGTCTATCTCTATTTGCTTTTAACACACTCACGTTGTCTCTTGCGTTTCTCTGGGTAGAATATTTACCCATTGCTGGTAATTTCCTATGATTTCTGTCTCCCTCTCAACACATACTACTTATATCCATTCTGATCAACAGCACCCACTACACTTGACCCCCCCCCCGGTCAAAATTTCGGGCTTGCAGTCGTGTTGATCGTCTTGATACTATCTTCTAGGAAAGGGGTGGCCAGTCTAAATTGTGGCATCAGTCCGCGAAGTTGTTGACTGTTACTCTTAACCGGCTAGGGAGACTTTATATTTCTCTGTTGGGGTTCGCATGTCTATAAAAGCTAGTGGTTGTAGATTTTGCGTGATATAGCTCAGAATTGATTTCAATGACTCAAATGTATCCATAAATTCTCCTCATTTTAATCGTCATACTGAATTCGGTGTTTTCTTGTTTGTTCTTGTTGTCTTATCACGACTGTTTTTCACTTTGACTAATTTATTCGCTATTTCTTTGTCTTTCATTTTAGTACTTCCCCTCTTCGTATGCTGATATAAAGTGTAGCAACTTGGACCGTTAAGCAGTAATGCCTGGTCCAGTGTTGATCCTGTCTTGTGAGTGCTAATCTCTCTGCCACCCTATATCCATCCTTATAATCAAACCGCCATTACTTTATAATATTGAGTCACCACTTAATTCTTGAATTCTTTGTTGATGAATGCTTGTTTTGTCTCCAATGGTTAATCTTCCTTTGTTTGTGCAAATGAGACGTATTTTAACTCTTGTTTTCATTTCTAATTCTTCTCACACTTGTCAAAGTAACATGTTTGAAGTTTCCGAGGTTTTCCCAGTCAAATATATCACTTTTTGTAAAAAACTGCGTTGAAAATCTTTTGTTTGGATAGATTTACGTTAACATTAAGTTCTTACAGTGTAATGATATATCATGTAACAAATTTCAGAAGCTTATTATTTTCTCATTCCCTTGTTTAATTTAGGGAAATGAATTCTTCAGCTAAGCTTATTGAAGCTACCTTTTCCAAGTAAGTTTCTGTATTTTGAAAAGGAGATTTTTAGTGTGTTGCTAAGCAGGTAGTCTCTTTTTAAGTATGGGTACACGAATTCATTTACTTTTGTACAAAGTTCGGTTTAAAGTGTTACTGGTAATTATTTGTTGACTGATCCAAAAGAATAATGCCTTAAATTCAACGGTGTTCGTTAACGGGGAATGTTGGCTGATCGACTAGTACTACACACCTGGCGTATGATAAGTCGCATTGCTGTCTGCATGAATGCACTTGTAGATTTGACGGTTGCCACAATTGTGAAAACAGATCACAGGATATGAAAATCCTTGAACTCTGCTGTTATGTATGTTTCAATCTACATTAAGTTTTACGAAACTTGGAGAATCGAACTAAGGTGTGATGAAATATCAATCAATAAACAATAGTTTTCTGGTCTGCATAGCTTCATTCTCAAGACTAGTTAGGTGCTAGTATGTTTCTGAACTTCAATTTAACATGAGGCACGGAGTTTTTGGCTTTCAGAAAGTCTTTGTGTTTACTCTCACCGAATATCGTATACTATGAGAAAAAATGCGAACGTTTTACTTCTCTTTTAATGCTTAGTCAAATTCCCGCTCAGTTCTTTTCGAGCTAAGTCTACTTCGAAAAGTGAAGAAAGCAGCAATCTATCATTTTGGCTTTCAGTGGCCGATGATAAACCATAATTTTTTTTTATGGGGTATATTTACAGTTATACATGAAAAATATCAGTTACCCCTGTAAAAGACTAAGCCCTTAAATAGTTTATCATTAATTATTCAAGGGTTTCAGTTGCTAAACTTCAGGTTCGTATAGTGAACTCACTTTAACAGGGATTTTTCACAGTATGCACTAATAGCCATTCTACTTATTGGCAATCAAGTAGTGTGTCATCACTCTTCAATTCAAGAAATCTGTGGTCTAAATTATACAACTTTCCGCTGGAACCATCCTCTATAGTGCTATTGTTGCACTTAGTATTCGTCTCCGAATGACTAAATGAGTTGAGAACTACGTTCTCCCTGTTTTACTGAAGAAACAAAAGAGGTAGAGAGTGATAAATTGTTTATTTTGAAATTACACCCAATCTTGAAAAAATGTAAAAATCGTTTATTAAGCACAGTTCGTGCATTTTGATATCAAGATGAGTTGGTGATCCATTTCGGCCGTTTTTTCATTTGTCTTCTATGTTCCTTCCCCATGCCTCTCTTTTTCACGTTCAAATTCTTTACCAATCGCATAATAACTGTAGTCACTTTCTCCAAGGACATCATGCCATATACTACTTACACTTATTCGTATAAGTAGCGCATACCACAGCACTGCTCTCGGCAAAATAAGTTATCCTAGCTAAACCTATCCCAACCTTCATTTTATTTGTTTATAGCACAAACTTGTTACAACATGAGCACCAAGAAATAGACCATACTAAATAATGTAACAGGATTTAGAAGACATGAATAAGATGCAATAAAAAGGCAATAACAAAAAGGAAAATAGTAAGGGTAATTGAAGGAGAAACAAAGTAGCATCTAATAGTCTTGTTTTGCTTTCGGTTTTTTTTCTAGGCCTTTGTTTGCTCTCATTTCAAGCAGAGGTGTTAACCAAAACGATAGGTTCACCTTAGTTGATGAAATTCGCCCTATATGCCTCTTAACTGCTATATTTCGAACCTTTTTTTGGTGACTGCTTTTCGATGACTTTGCCACTCTTTTCTCACTGGTTAAACTTTCACTTAAAATTTTGCTGTTCATTTTACTCATCTTAGAAACACTAAATGAAAAATGGGAATAGCAGTGGTATGTGTATATCCATTTTTATCTTGACCAATTGAAAATCGCTTTTTCTCTTATTGCTCTGCGTCCATACATAATATGGAAACTAGTATCATTCCTTCGATTCACATATGAAAGGATTCCAGGACGTATTGGTGTTATAACTGGACTTAACCTTTCCTCCAGTATTTGTATTGACAGCTATGTATCTACCTCAATAATGTTGTTACTTGTATTATCCCGTCGTCGAGTGGACCGAATTTGATAGGTTTCTATTGGCATATGGACTCCTGCGCAGAAGCCTCAATATTGCCTGTGTTTCAGTTTTATGTTTATTGGTTATAGTGCCTAGCAGCGGAATCCAGGATGCACGTTTCCTCCTATTCAGGACTCGTCAGCTGGATGTACCTGCCTCCCAGTAAGCGATGTTGTTCTCACTAAGACCCAAACCTGAGACGATCGCTTTAAACCCCAGAGCGTTATCCACTAGGTCACCGAGTTACGATAGCCACTACACCTAACTGACGACCTCCAAATAGGACGAAAAGCTGATCCTAGATTCCGTTGCTAGCCACTATCAGTCATTAATATATCTACCTTATTGGGCTTGAGTTCATTTCGTTGTCACAACACAATTCAGAACAGATGCTTGGTAAAAAATTTTCTCCTATCTTGTAAATAGCTGAATTAAGTTTTATGCACGGCCTGTTTAAGAACTGTTGTTTTCAGAAATAAAAAGGACTGCAGTGCAGCCCAGCAACCACACACATTCGTGGATTCAACAATGACCCATATCTATTGAATGATAGCCAGTTATTCTATCTGACTTTTCAGAACTCAGTTGGTGATAAAAAGTTGGCGTAATTTGTTCAACCTGCAACAACCGTAGGAAAAGAGTCATGTTTTACCTTTCTTTCATGATACGTCGTGTTTGTTGCAGTACAAAAATCCAAAGTTGTTCAGTATAGTTAAATAATGACGTCACAGTCATGAATATTTATCTATTCGAGTCCGTGTAAAGTGCTGTAGGCTACTAAACTCTATAAACTCTTGCTTGGTAGCACCATCTGACTGAGAAACATGAACCTTTTAGCTTTTTCTTCGATATTTCTATTACTCCTATGTATCAGTTTCTTTACCTTCTGTCTTTTATTCTCTGGAACTACTAAACAGCTATAACTCATTTACATTAGTGCTACGTGTTACTGTGAAGGTAAACGTTTTTCATCTTGTTTCGGTTGCTAATTTATTAACCAAACAGTCGTTTTTTATTTAATGTTATCCTTCAACACATTCTAACGTCAAAGATTTCATCTAACTTTTTCTTAATTTGTAGAGTGGATTTGGAAGAAATTCTTGATCTTAAGATGTATTCTAATAGGTAAGTTGACTCTAATGTCATGTGATTCATTCATATATGAATAAAAACTATTTATCTTATCTTTTTTCACATGAATATGAGTCGACATTGATCACCATATTTGTATTTACAAACACTAGAAAACTGGTGTTCCTTCGGTAGTAGTAGTACTCAGTCGGAGACCTAACCACTGAGCTAGCTAGCTACTCAGGTCACAACTGTGACCCCCTTTAGGACTGGAATATGCACACGAATCGATTATCAGTGAGTAGCTCTCGTAGTTGCCTAGTGACTAACGGACTGACAAAATCAACGTAGAATCTCACACATAAGTGCATCGGTTCCAGTTTCCACGCTTCACTGTAGTGCAAAAAGCACAGACGGATAGGAAAACAGTGATATCAAAGAAGATAATGTAATGAGAGAGAACAAATAATCTGAAGATAAAGGTTAATGCTAATATTTAGCTTTCAGAATATGTCAATGAGTGAATATATGTGAGCCATTATGACCGATTTTCATCTGTGTCATATAGAATCCTCAATCACTCATTCCTTTCGTCTCAAGGACTCTTGCCAGGTTGTCAACATCTCACAACATGGTTCTGCCCAACAGTAAGAGTCTTCATCGTCTGGTGCCACATCTTGCTCTGGCCACTCTGAACCCAGTAAAGAAGATACGCCAAGAGTATGACTACGCCCAACATCTGTAGTCTTCAAATTCCATTATAAGTATTCAAACAGATAGATGAAGTAGCTATGATGTTACCAATATTGTCAGTCTTCCAACATAAGTTCATGAATAGTTGAGAACGTGCTGCCTTGGAGATATTTAGCCTTGCTTGAATAGTATGACAGAGGTATATGAAGGAGGCATTTTCGGTGTTGAAATCGGAACATATCGACAAAAAGTTTCCACGCAAACCGAGCTGTTAACTCAGTACGCATACATAAAAGAATTCGGACAACAAAGCAATGAAAGAGAGCCTGGTCTGTTGGCTTGCAAAACCAAACAAAGGTGAAATGAAGGTTTGATACCCTAATCATTGTTTAGGCTTCATGTCACTTCATTCTGTAGGCTTGTTTAAATCCTCAAGAAAACAATATGTCGAAAATTTGTTTCAAGAAAGGAAAAATGTAAAGAAGTACTATTCCTTGACAAATATTCCTATAGTTTATCTAGATATGCACAAGAAGTAGTCAGAAAAATACTACACAATGCAGTTACAGACACAAACGGCAATAACGATAATAATAATGACAGAATGACGGGGAACGAATTTAAAGACCTCAAAGTTCTGTCAGGAGCTGTACATAGGATTCTTAAATAGAGCGAGATTAGTGTAGGCTTTGAACCTGTAAAAGTTGTCTACCAAAAGATCCTACCTAATTTATTCGACAAAATATTTCGGTCTACCGAAACCTTTGCAGTGAGTGTAAGATCAGATATAAATAGGTCAAGATAGCTAACTGGGGTCTATCGGGTCAGTAGAACATAAAAGTCCAGCTAAATGTTAACGAATAGGTCAATGGTTTGTGCACTGCAGATGCTGATAACAGTTCATCCACCAAGTCTGTAATGTAGATAGGCGCTAAACTAAGTGATTTGATGACAATGCAACTGATATTTTTTCGTTGTTACCTGTAAGGAGTTGTTATAACAGATTGAAGAAATGAAAATAAGAATCTCGGAGAACCATTATCGAATATGTTATATCTAGTTTAGAAAACATTTCATTGAAAACTTATGGTACTACTGTTATGTTCAGTTCAAGAGCTTTTTATTGACTTGTCACTCTGTGCTGTACGAAACTTATGATTATAAAATAATTATTGTATGTTGGGTGAAATCGGTTATTGTGTTTCATCATCCCAGTTTCTATATATGAAACCAATGATTTCACTTAAATGAATTATGATACACTGTATACTTATAATTCAGTTGTATGTATAGATGAATAGGATTGAAAATACTAAGGTAGAGGGCTATCAGTCTTTTTCTTCTGTATTGTGTAGTGGGTGGGGAAGGAAGTCTGCTGGTTGGAAGGTTGCAAAAATCTCGTCTTGAGTTAAGTTCGTCGGTAGTCTCATAGCTATGGGTAAAGCTCAGATGAGTGCAGTGATAGTGGGACAAGCAGCAGGTTTGAATCATTCTTCAGTGACAACACGTGGTTTCAAGCCATATCAGTTTCTTTGTAGTCATAAGGAGAATCAACTGACAAGAAGGCTGAGTATGCTGATGATATTTTTATTCCTAATGATCGTAGTTGCAGTTGTGTTTAGTGGGATTTTCGCCTCACACCTGTGCATTTCTTTGTTCAGTCGTCTTCTTCAGTAATATGTATGCGTAGCAAGCCGTACACATAAATTTTCTGTCAGTTTCATAGTTCTATGAACATCAATGGTCTTATTGTACCGTGACTCTGAGTCTTTCAGCTTGGTGGCCATGTTACAAAATCATGGGCAGAATCATATTAGTTGCTGCACATCGACCAATCACATATCAGTCGCAGCCTGAATAGCTCATTGTGAACACCTGGGGGTACAGCACTGGGCGACATGGGTTCAAATCTCTAGGGGAACATCAGTTCCCTTGAAGTTGTAGATGCACCCTCCTTATGAGTACCAACAAGCACGAAACCTAGATCCACGACTTCCTGTCGATTACCTTCAGCCATTTTGCTCATGACTGACGTAACTCAAAAAGTATCCAGTTTCTTAACCAAACTACGGCACCAATAAGCATAATTTGTCTTACTGTATATGGTGCTCACTTTGTCAGTTAAACTGTAAGCGCGTACTCTGTTCTCAACACACATCGCCAACCCTGCATAATTCAGTAAGCGAATGCAGCGACCTTATGTAATCTGTAGGTAGCAACAGCTAAAGTTTGAACAGGACGGTTGGTTTTTGCTTCAGATTTATCAGAAAGGTATTCAATGAAGTACTTATATTTGTGTGCAGAAATATGGATCGAGTGAGGGAAGCTAGTCAAATAAGCATATAGTTCATAATGTAAATAGAAATCTTACAAATTTATTTCTGCATTTTAGTGAATTGAAGTGTAGTGGTTAACTAATTAATTAAGGTTCATAAATTTTGAACTTCGTGGGATTTCAGTTCTGCGAAATATGTAGCACCAAGTTATTGGAATACCGGTAGTCATTACACCTTAGCTCTTTTTAAAGATATAAAAAGATAAACTAGATGTCAAGCTTACTTAAACTCCTAAGCTGGCTAACTGTGCACAGGTTCGTCTCAATTATAGTATTTTATTGCGTTGTTTTGTATGGAAAGGTGTTTAAAATGACCATTGATTACAGCTGGAAATTTAGAACGTTTCATAAAATTGTTGTTCAAACTTTGCTTTTCTAGCTATAAGACTCATATATATATATATATGTTGGTTTTTTTGTCATTATGCACTCTTCATTTTTCTTACAGTCCCAAACCTGATGCTTTTACTTCATCTTCAGAATTGACAACAATCCATTTAAGTCAAGTATGTTAAACTACAAGTCTTTATTATACACACTGTGTTTACAGCGGATATCTACAGTAACTTTGGAATTCTCCGAGCTATTCAATCGTAAACTGTTCGAAAATTGTATAGAATCTATTCTTTGGGAGCAGAATGTTCATGATAAAGATGATAATTCTATGAATGTTCTACGTCTGAAGGTAATATTATTTTTAAAACTATTCTAAGCTGATTGATTTTAATATCAATGAATCGAAATGCTCTCGGCAACCTTGTGGGCATTTGTGTCGTAGGCAGTGAGCAACACCTATTTTTTGATGGCTAATAGTACTATCTGAGTGCCCAAACCTCAGTAGGTGGAGCGGGACTCGAACCCTTGAGTCATCGGTTGAAAGTCATCTCTCTAAACCAATGGACCACAGCTCCACATGTAAACTCTACTGTATGGTGTAAATTAAGGGTTAGAAATCCAAACGCATAAAATGAGGACCGATTTCAAGAAGATATAAGTTCATTTAATTCTATGTACATTTCAATCTACATTACTTTATTACTCCGTATGCATTGTCCCCATCTCCATGTTTAACTGTCTGTCGATATTTATTCTGTTGATTATCTTTTCAAATGAAGCCCCGAATGTGTAGCCATTATTAAAAGCTACATCATACTGCTTACTATGCTCATTATAATTGAATGAAATATTGCTTAGAATCATATTTCTGTTATCATGTTCAGGTTAGAATGTACATTTTCCTATTCAATGATCTACTGACAAGAATCAGACGGTAGTAAGTGAGACCATCATTGAAAATGATGGTACACTGATGAATTCTCTGGACAGAAAACTAGAACGTTGGGTAGAATAGTTTTAAGCCCAGTTCAACTGGCCCACAGCAACACTTGAGTTGCCCAACATGCAGACCAAACCTGAATGAAACGTAGATGTCAGTCGTATAACTCTCCTCAAAGTTGGGAAAGCTGTTTGTAACCTAAATGGATGCAAAGTTGCAGGATGTGATGGTATGCTACTTGTTTGTCACACTTCGTTACCTTTTTAGCAGCTACGAGCAGGCTAATCGGTCCAATGTTTCACCCACTAGCGATCATTGATGTTCTTCAGCATCGAGAAATAAAGAGTCTATCAACAATTGAAAGGTAGTCGTTTGAAAAAAATAGAACTAAATTTATCTTGTATACAGCTTATCAGAACCCATCAGAATTTTTCAAAAGCTCAAGCCTCACACGACGTGGTCACAAAGAGATGCACCGTATTAAATAATAAAATTATATTATGAAGACGCAGAATTGAAATGCCACAAAGAGAACAAAAGTACAGTACAAGCAAAGGGGCATCTTCTAGCCTGGTTTTACCTTCGGTTTGTTTTGCTTCTGGTTTCTTTTCTGGCCCATATTTGCTGTCATGTCAAACCAAGAGATGCTAACGAAATATAGTTATCCTCAATCCTAGGTTGTCATATACACCTCTCTGCTTCTTTCCACTGGTCTCAGGGCAAGTGAATAGTATGGGATCCGCCAAGATGACATTTGTAACAAATGTTCAATGAATTCACTGTATGAATCACGGTCTTTATTACGCCCAAATAGCCACCGTCTCACACTGAAACTACTTACATGGTGTTTATATCGGATGCTATCATCCTTACTGAGGTAGGGTAGTGGAATATGCGGAGTCGCCGAATATTTTCAGCTTTGAGAGGTGAGGTTTCACAGGTACAGGGCAGAACTGCCGGCGCTAACGCGTTGCTCGCCCGACCTTAGACAGCCAGGGTAGCATCATGTTGATGCTAAAAGTGACCCAGATTGACTTTTCCCGCTTTGGCTTTTGATATAAAGACAGCAATCTCATCATTCATGCCTTCACCATCACTCATAGAAGTATTGAAACACAAACCTTCTGACGGCCGAAAGTGAGTGTAGGTACAGACTTCTGTCAGTCTTTTAGGTTGTTATTAAAAATAGCAATCCTGTAGAAGCAGTTTGCATTTCTGCAGTGCAAAGCACTTACCATACTTATGGGCACTGATCGCCAATTGATAAAATGCGATTCGTGTGGTTTCATGTTTTTGAACAGCAAAACAATCATCCGTGTACTCACGTTCGGACGTTTTTGACCTGTTGGCAGATCCACATCACTACCACCTTTCTTCTCTAGTGTATTGTGAAAAACTTCTGTCACCGAGATTGTTGTAAACAGAAGAAATAAGTTTCTTCATTTAGTGACGTGTTGATAAAGTTGTAACCTGTTCGTTCCTCAACGTAAAATGTGATAATAAATTAATGAAATATTGTTCGTAGTGCAATCATTTTATGGCGTCAGAGGTTTTCTCAATATGTATGCTGCTACGACCTCTTCGAAATACTAAGTTTTTGCATTGTAAGTAGCTAACACAGTGAAGATAATTTGTTGTTGTGTTTAGCGGAAGTCAAACAGACGGTACTTTATCTCCGATTCTATGCAACTGAAACACTTTGAAAATTTCTAAAATCCAAAGTATGTCTTTTGAAATATTTGTGAAATATGCCACAAAAGCTAAGGATGTAAGTAGAGTGATCTCGGAATAATTTTACAAATTAGTGAAATTTATTATAAACGTATGTTTTAATACAATCCCATAGCGTTTAGAAAATCACAACAAGATTTTTCCGAACGTTTCACTCTGTAAGCTATAGCTTCTTCAGTAGAACATTCGAATTTCTTATTAACGTCAAAATATGTGATCAGCTAGTACATCAAATATTTCGTGTGTGTGTGTGTGTCTGTGTGTGTGTGTGTGTATGTGTAGGTCATTGATATCAATTCCTGGAGTCTTTGACTGTTAGGGTGTACCGTGTAGGGAAATGTAGACTTCCTAGTCTGGGGTCTGAACAAGTTGAAATCTGGAAGAGAAAAGAATTCAACAGAAATGAGAGCGGCATATAGTCTGTCCAATAGACAGCTGAATAAGCATGAGATGTTTCTAAGGTAGGGCCTAAATTTCAGTTTGACGATGGAATTAACTCAAGTCTTGGAACTGCTTTTATTGTTTTTACCGAAAGAAGTAAATGGAGTTCATCATAAGGTCGAAATTATCGTGGCAGATCAGAAACCTGTTGGTTTGAATCTCACAAAAGTGAATCGAGGTAATGAGCTACACCTGTTGTGTTTGGGGCTAGTGATACTACCTGGTTACTCAAACCTCTGTCGGCGGATCTGCATACACTAACCCCGTGACCCACGTGTCAGTAGAAGTCAAGTGCGTAAGTAAATGAACCACAGCTTTCTGATGAAAGCAGACAAAGACAATGTCACAGTCGTTTTGATTAAAAAGATTCTGAAGAGATAATATTAAAGTATTCAGAAACTGGACCATATGAGCTTATCACAAGTAATAATGCTTCAAGCACACTAAATAAAATGAAAGCTGAAACATACAAATTACTTGAAGGAATGAAACAAACTTCTTAGCTTCTAAGACCCTGACACAACTGCTAGATTCTACGACAGTCCAAAACCTCGCGAAACTGAGGTCCTCCTTTGACCAATTATTCCAGTTTTTCAAATTCGATAACTTATCGTTTATCGAAATATTTATCAAGAATTTTTAAACTATTTCAATATAACACCTCTACAAATGTTAAAATCTCACAATATTTTAATGATAAATTGATGGTTACCAGAATAGAAGTTGAAGTTATGGCAAGTTTCGATGTGGTTTCTACTTTTTGACTAGTATGCGGATGTTTGAATATCGAGATAATAGTAACCAAATAATAATAGTAATAATAATAATAATAATAATAGTAATAAATAATAATAGTAATAATAATAATAGTAACCAAAATTCGTTATCTGGGTTTCCACTCTCAATTGAGGACACTATAGAATTACTTAAGTTATGCTTAGAGTTGGCATATTTCATGTACCGTCAGATAAACGGAGTTGCAATGAGTTCACCAACGTCTCCAATTGTGGCATCAAATAATTTGCAGTGCCAACCAGAATTCTGTATAGGTACATGAATGATACGTTTGGTCACTCAAAGGAAAGTACACTAACAGGCTTTCTTTGAACATAAATTCTGTTTCATATTCGATTAAATTTATAAGTGAAGGAGAATCTGAGGACAGGACTCTAAACTTTTTCAATTGTCTTATTTAAAGAACAAATGAAGATGAATTTAGAATAAAAATATGCATAAAATCAACATATTCCGATGAATATTTAGACTTTCAGCTAGATCATCCAGTTAACACAAAGTTGTACCAATGAACCTACTAAATGGATTAAAAACATTATAACCGATCCTAATGATTTCCAAAATGAAAGTAGTTTCAATTGAAAATGGGTGCCAAAAGAAGTTTCTAAACAACATTATCGATCAGACGAATAAAACTGCAAGCATCAATACTGATAATAATGCCACAATAAAATCATAGATATGATCTATGTTGTTACCATTTCGGAAGGGTACTTCTAATCAGACTAAAAGAGTACTTATCTCATGTTATTAAAGTTTACTCGAAACCTATAAATTCTTTAGAGAAGTCTTGGTAAAAGTGAAAGATGCAACTCTTAAAATGGCTCGGAACAAATGTGGCCATCAAATTCAATTTCCAGAATATGAGGCTAATTATATTGAGGAAAGTTGTGTTATGGTGAGTGAACACGGGCTGTGAACGAAACGTCTACCGAAGAATCAACGTGAACTCAAAATTTAGGAAAGCAATCACCAATATCTTTGTACATAATCGAAGATGGACATGATTACATTTGTTAATCCAGACATATTGGGAGAGGGTTTCCATTTATAAAAAGAAAAATTTAACCTTGAAATGATGAAGAATGATTGCAACTTAGATAGATCTTTATGGTGTTGTATTCTCTGAACTGAATGGTTTAATTATGAAGTTTTCATTGTCATTTTAGATAGCATCATTAGCAGAAACTTCAGAATGAAGTGAGCGATAAGATTTTCCCCGCAATTAGTTTAGTAGCTTATTCTGATGGCCTTTTGTGTGACGGGTTATTTCTGATAAAGTCTTACCATTGTCTCCATGTTTCTTTCGATTGGTTGTTCTGCTGACCTGAGCTTTAACGTTGTTGTCTCCTATTGATTGATAGATTTGGTCAATATCAATATGTCTGTTGATCTCTGACCTGATTCCCAAGCTCCTAAGAATTCTGTGATATTCTTT